GCGGTTTTTAACCAATCAGGCGAGCTAGACGAGCTTGGAGGCGACCTAGGCGAACAGCCGAGCTAGGCGAACATGTGAGGTTGACATACGAACCTCATTAAGCATTCAGGCGATCTTAAACCCTATTGGTGATCTTGGATCGTAGGAAAAATCAAGTGTTCAGGCAAACTTGGCTACGCAGGCGAAGTTGGCGAGCTAAGTATTCAGGCGAGCTTAGCTCCTTTTCGGCGAAGCTCAATGCTCAGGTAAACTGCGCTTTGCCTGTGAAGTCAATGAAGAAATGGTGAAAGAAGCTCAAAAGAAGCTCAGGAGAACGGCCAGGCAGAATGGCGGTTGGCCGCGAGTCAGCGGCGGTGGACCGCGAACGTGCACAAGAGAGCAGTAGGATTTGGAGCTGAAGGTGGTCGATTATCGCGGTCAACCGCGCCAACCCTACGGTACCTGCGGTCGACTGTCTCGAGTTTTGGTTCGGTTGACCATGGCAATCAACCGCGATACCTGCGTGGTCGACCGTCGCGGTCGACCACAGATGAGTTTGGGCTGGGCTTTGGGTTTTTAATCAGTTTCGTTTTGAGTTAATATATAACTCTAATCCTGATTAGTTAGGGTTAAGTAAGGATGTTTTTGAGCAGTCTTTGAGAGAGGATTGCTGCATCCAATTATGGGAGATTTGTGAGAGATCTAGAGCTTTGTTTTAGGGTTTGATCAGTGAGATTTGTATCTCTATTTGTATTCTCTTGATTTCTAATATTAAGAACTCCCTTCTCCTTGCCCCGTGGACGTAGGCAACTTGCCGAACCATGTTAAACTCGTTATCTTGCTGTGGTATTGTGTTTGGCTTATTAGCTGTGATTTATCTCTTGGATTGTTCGTGTCACTTTGAAGCTTCCGCCGTGCACAACTTTTGGTATCAGAGCTTCGGGTTCGGCTTGAGGCTTGTTTGAAGGATTCACTGAAGGATTCCTATTTGAAGAGTTAGATTAATAACATGGGTGAAACAAGCACATCGGGATTGTCTCTTACGAAGACGATACATAGTTTGAGCATCAATAACATGAAGATCGATGTTCCGAAGTTTGATGATAAGATCAATTTTAGTTTGTGGAGGTACCAGGTGATGGATGCGTTAGACGCTCAAAACTTGGAAGAGACTCTTGAGTTGCAAGAGAAACATGCTGATATGGAAGAAAAGGTTTGGAAGAAGATGAATAGTAGGGTGTATGGAGTTATTCGATCATGCTTGACACCGGATCTTATTTATGATGTGATGAACGAGACGTCGACGAAGAAGATGTGGGAAACACTCAATGAAAAGTATCTTACTAAGAGCATTGAGAATCGGCTTCACTTGAAGAAGAGGTTTTACCAGTTTAAGATAAAAAGAGGAGTTTCCATCAGGGAGCATGTTAACAACTTCACGAAGCTACTTTCAGACATGGCCAATGTGGATATCATGGTTGAGGATGAAGACAAAGCGATGCTACTTTTGTGTTTGTTGCCTGAGGATGATTATGGTATCTTTGTTCTCACCATGATTAATGGAAGAACTACTATTAGCTACAAGGAGGTGACCTCAGTGTTGATGAATTATGAGTTGAGGAAGAGTGTTGATGAGTCATCCGAGAAGGCATCGGGAGATGCATTAGTAGCTTAAGGCCGTGGTTCAAACCGAAGTAGGAGGTCACATTCTAGAGGTGCACATCGTGGGATTTGTAGGAATCAGTGTGCTTTTTATAAAGAGGATGGACATTGAAAAACTGAATGCCCAAAGTTAGACCGAGCTAAGAAGAATAAGGGGAAAGCTGTACAAGCTTCAGAGGTGAATGTTATTAAGACTAGTGGTAACAATTCAGATTCGGATTCTTCAGGCTATTCGTTATCCGCACCACCACCAGTTTGTGATGCCGACTCTACGGAGTGGATGTTAGATTCGGGTGGTTCTTACCACGTTTGCCCTAGGAGGGATTTGTTCTCCAGCTTTCAGGAGTTGAAAAGAGAGGATGCCGTATTCATGGATAATGGACATGCATGCTCTTAGTGGTATTGGTACTGTTCGGATTAGGATGAGTGATAGGATGATGTGAGAGTTGGATGATGTAAGGTTCGTTCTACAATTGAAGATGAACATCATTTCACTTAGAGCTTTAGAGGCAGCAGACTATAGGGTGACCTTGGTGGATGCACACTTGAATGTCATATTGGGGTCCATGATTGTGATGAATGGCGTCAGAATGAGCAATTTGTATTATTTGCTCAAAAGCACGGCGATTGGTAGGGAGCTAATGACTTTATCAGATTCGGCTAGACAGTGGTGTTGTTTGATGCTGGGTTATTTGATTGGTAATACTGTGCATAGGTTGTTGAGGAGTGTTTTGACCTGCAGTTTGAAGTCCTGTGAGCTTATTGGTATGAGCAAGAAGACCGAGGTAGAGTTTGGCACTTCTATCCATTATTCGAGGGCTCTTCTGAGGGGTCTTCATTCAGGCATTCGGGGACCTTCCAAGGGAGCATCATTGGGAGGTAATAGGTATGTGGTTTTCGTAGTTAGGGATTGTTCTAGGCATTGGTGGGTTGCAACCAAGTCTCGTTAGTGTGAAGTCCTAGAAGCCCACAACAGATGGAGGAAGTGTGTTGACAAAAGGGTAACCCGACGTTCTGTTTATGGTAGGGGTTTTTTCTTGCATTTATGCCGAGCTCAAGGCAATTGGAGATACTTCATTGGTGTGAAAACTTTGAGGTGACGTGATGAGATGACAGATTTGGGGAGCTGTTCTATTCTGGATGAGGATAGGCGTTTGATGTCGAGCATTAGCATTAGTGTGCAGGCTACGACATGTTTGGGCCATCCTATGCATAGGTTACCAACTGCTGCTTGTAGAGATTTTGGATCTGGTGAACCTGTTTTAGATTTTGGGTTGCGTCGGATGTTTGGCTACCCAGTACTTAGTCACATCGTGGATGTGGGATTTGATCTGATAGCAAATTTGGGATTTAGAGGCGTGTTTTATTATCAGGTATTGGCTTCTGACTTTGTTCTGAGCAGGTATGCCACGTTTGACTCTTGACAGGTGTAGAGTGGTGATCAGATCATTAGGACATCACAGCGGATGAAGAGTGATGCTACTCTATGTTGGGTGGAGATTACTCAACATACTTCCGATCATACTGCATCGTTTGGGATTCCAGCTGATGTGACATAGATTGGGAATCATGTTGATTTGAATGCGGATGATACGTTAATCGATTCGAGTGTAGCTGATTGATGGAATCTAGATATGGCCATTGGTTCATCTCAGGTGGAGATGGTTGGATTGTTTCAGTTTGGGGTCATTGGAGGTGCTATCATCCGTAGACTTGATCGTGATGTTGGAGAAGGGTTACCAACTCTTCTAGTGGATTGAGGTCTTTGGAGGCCATTTGGGTGAACTACGTTCAGCTTGATTCCTTGGGGAAGAGGATACGTAGGCAGTCTTTCGATGCAACCGGTTTGATTCAGATGGGGGGAGATCATTTCAGCTCCCGTTTGGTTTCCCGACTTATTGTGGATTAAGTCCATTGTCGTGGTGTGTTTCCACGACATCCTGAATGCAACAAGTGGGACATTTGGATGATTTGGTGTCGGCTCAGTTTTGATAAAAATATTCGCCGAGGTGGAGAATTGAAGAAATGACGAAAAAAGCTCGAAAGAAGCTCAGGAGAATGACCAGGCAAACTAGCGGTCGACCGCGAGTCAGCGGCGGGGGGCCCCCGGTCGACCACGAGTCAGCGACGGTCGACCACGAACGTGCACAGGAGAGCAGTAGGATTCGGAGCTAAAGGCGGTCGACCGCCATGATCGATCGCGCTAACCCTGTATGTGATTTTTCTCTCAGGTTTTGGTTCGGTCGATCGTGGCAGTCGACCGCGATACCTGTGCGGTCGACTGCAGATGAGTTTGGGATGGGCTTTGGGTTTTCAACCCGTTTTACCGCGATACCTGTGCGGTCGACTGCAGATGAGTTTGGGATGGGCTTTGGGTTTTCAACCCGTTTTGTTTTGAGTTAGTATATAACTCTAATACTAATTAGTTAGGGTTAAGTAAGGGCAATTTTTAGCAGTCTTTGAGAGAGGATTGCTGCATCCAATTGTGGGAGATTTGTGAGAGATTTAGAGCTTTGTTTTAGGGTTTGATCGGTGAGATTTATAACTCTATTTGTATTCTCTTGATTTCTAATAGTAAGAACTCCCCTCTCCTTGCCCCGTGGGCGTAGGCAACTTGCCGAATCACGTTAAACTCGTTATCTTGCTGTGGTATTGTGTTTAGCTTATTAGTTGTGATTTATCTCTTGGATTGTTTGTGTCGCTTCGAAGCTTCCGCCGCGCACAACAGTTAAGCATTCAGGCGAACTTGACTTGACCTATTTGATTCAGGCGAGCTTCGTTCCGACGAGCTTGGATGCTCAGGTGAAGTCATGCAGGCAAACTTCTGAGTTTTGGGATAAAGGCAATTTTATTTGCCTACACTGTCATCACACCTTCATAGTTGTGGTGTATTGGTTAGAGACTTTAACATGATATTAGAGCAACCCAAATTTAAATTTCACTAGCCACAAGTTTAAGGTAGATTTTTAAAAATTGGACCACTGGACTTATCCTAGTTGGATGCACAACTTGTAGAATATAAATATAACCCGCGACTCTCACTGGGTGTATTGGTTGGGAATCTTAACATGCCCTGATACTAATCAATACACCACAACTCCAAAGTCGTGGTAAGAATTTGAAAGTTGTATTTCTATATTCTAATACCTACCCATAGTTTATTAATAGGGCTCAGGCTCAAAATACTTATTTAGAGATATTTGTTCTTCGTGATTTATTTCACATATGCTTTAATTACTTAAATCAACTATAGGGTTCAAGACTAAGAAAATTCATAAGCTCAACATTAACACTCAGAAGGTGATATTCTTGGTATATATTCTAATATATAGCTAATGTTTTCCATAGGGAAATACATGACAAGCTCAAACTTATGAATAAACCACTGCAAAACTACATCATATCTGATTTTATCATGAACGAACATGCGACATGTAATATGGACCGAAATCTTGAGAAGCAGGCATGTCGATTTTGTGACATGGATATAATGCAAGACAGCTTTCAAAAGGTCCGAACATCGCCATCTTTAGTTGTTCGCTATATAATCGTCGAATATCATCATCATCAAATTCTTTAACAATGCCATTGTGCTCCTACTACGTTGGCCTTGAAACCTGAAATAAAACGTAATCAGCAAAGAAATTTATAGAATTACTCGGATCAATTCATAAGCATGCTGCATGCAAACATTAAACTTTGAAGAAAGCAATTAGGAGAGCATTAATATGCTAATTTAGAAAATTTTAGATATTCTCTTTGACTTAATTTTCAGATCTAGAATGAGATTTTCAGAAAAGAATATTTAAATTTATTACAAAATTCTACTTGGAAAAGAATCTTGAATTTTCGATTTTGCATCAAGATTTCGAAACCTGATAGAAAATTGGTTTCTATAGAACAATAAGACTAACTTGACAAAAGCTTAAAATTAGATTGAGAGAATAAAGGACAGTACGAGTGAAAAAGAAGTTAGGTGATATATGTAACAAGGTTAAGATATGATTAAAATTGGATAAACTCTTGCTTAATTACTTTTTTTTAAATATAAATAAATAACTATACTTACCAAGAAATAGCTTTCACCCATTTGCAAGCTCTGCAATAGGAATCCATACTGATTGGCAGGAAGAAGCTCTCCAGAGGAATGAACAAGAACCACATCTTGCCCAAACATTGCTCTCATATCAAATGGCCCTCTTGGAACCTCTGAAGGGATTCCATTGATGAACACAGTTATAGTCCCTAAATCAAATTAAGAAGCTATACTTCAGTTCATATAGTTACCAAATGAAATTTCCAATTAATCATACTATCATAATTCTTAAAGCATCATATCAATCATCATGCATGCATCTTGATTATACTTTTCTTTAAAAATAACTTCTTGCACTAGAAGTTTTTAATTTGATAAATATTTCTAGAGGAAAGCAGATAGATATTTTCCTGTTACAAAATTTAGATCTCTAATATATGACTAAACGGCCAAAAAAAAATCAATGCATGCTTGCAAGACCCTATAGAGCAGTCTTAAATTTTCTTCCGCTCATGAAGACATGCAATAATGAACAAAATTCAGTTTCTAATAACCTAAGTCAGAGCTAGCTAGCTTTCATTTTTTTAAAAAAAATTTATCTGAGCTCAGTTAAACAAATTTAAAGAAAGAAAGAACAAAGAAATCCCCAATCAATTTGGCCTGAAGTAGCCATGGTCTAAAGCATTTAGATCGTCTATACTCTTAATTAAAACGAAGAGCATATATAACATAAGTTTCTTCAACTTTCCATCCTACATAGCATGGTAAAAGGAACAGAATTGACACACGCAAAA